CTGTAAAATGCTCAAGTGGGGGAACTCAAAAAAGCAATCCATCACTCTACCTCCCAAACTCAGTTAAGCTATGAGTTTACTGATGTCCCACATCTGCAACCAAGTAAAGTTCATGACTGTTATGCTGCACAGCTGTCTTAAAGCCTCTGTTTTCATACAACTCACAGTATGAAATTATGGCAGTTGGAAGTATGACAGCCTCCATGTTCTGAGTGAAATACACAGCTTCCATTAACTTTACCAAAATTCTTAAAAAATATAAATTCTTATTCATTTTTAAGTAGAGATACTGTAATTACAATGACTTTTTCCAATTCATTTGACTTAAGAGTGCCAGATCTCTTAAAGGTGAAAATACTAGCATAAAAGTACCATAATAAAAAGATTTTATTGTGGAATAAATTAGTAGAATTAAAATGTATTTCAGCCTTTGTTTCTATTGTCATGTATAGAATTAGGAGGAAAAAATTACACTAAATTCAAATGGAAACATGCAATATTTCAGTGAATGACACAGACCAAACCGAGAGGCCTACCACTACTTTTTGCTAGAGGAAGGGTCTGTGCTCAATAGGAAGGCACAATATCAAACATGACAGCTCAAACCACAGTTCTACTCAAAACAGAGGCAAAGCACTTATGATTTCAACTTGCTAAGATTACACTCCATGTATGCCCAGTAGTACCTGTACATGGGACTGAAATGCAAGAAAATCTCTTTCCTTTGGTTTCTGACTCATCACAAGGAATCACATGGTATCACAGTTACACACAAGTTAATACTGGAGATAGTACTCTTTTCACCAAGAACTGATAAAAAGCAGTTCTCTAAAGTGATTTTGCAAAAGGCTTGTTTTTCAGATTGCATAAAGCTGTCCTGAAACATTTTTTTTCGCATTCTCTCTTACCATGTGGTTCATTAGTTGTTTGTTTTGGTTTGGTTTGGTCAACAAACATACACTATTTATATTTAGTTTTCATCTGAGGTTTGTAAGCAGAAACTCAAAGGCAGAAAGAACACAGACTAAAAGTCAATACTGAGGAAGGGAAATGACCTTTAGACAGGTGAATTATAAATAACTTGTGTTTGAAAAAAATTCTACTTTGGACAAAAAAATTACCTTGTGAAAACATGACTAACCAAACCCTTCATCCCAGTTGTGAAAACTCTCATCTCAATTCTCTTTGACAGATTATGCTTAAATATATAGGCATCACAAAGAAGGAGTGTTTATTACGAATAGTATATTGATACTCCATTACCCTAATGCGTGAGCAATACCCAATGATACAAAAATGATTAGGTGTGATGTTGCTGTAGTGGTACTCAGCTTTGTATTTCTTCTCTGTAGCCAAGCAAAACCCCTACTGAACCTCAGAGCAAGGACAAGGATGTTTTGCAGCATCTCTGCTCTTCTGGTGGGAAGGCTGGAGGATTTCCCTTTCCCTCTCTGCAGAAGACAACTTTCTCCCCCATCTCAAGTAAGGACCTAAGGCAGAGCAGAGAGACCCTGACAGAAGTTCTAAAGGTCTGTGAGTCATGGCAAGGACAAAGTCTTCAGAGATTGTGTTTCAAGAGTAGAAGATCTTGTTGTGATGCAGCTTTTCTACGAAGATAAAAACCTTGGGGTCATCTGCCCAAGTAATTCAACAGTACCATCCCTTATAGGTGATGCTGCAAAAATTGTCTAATATTGGGATAGTGAGTAAAATGGTCTGACTCCTCAAAGGTGAATGTACCAAGGCTGTCCTTAACTTTTCCAACGAAAATCCTCTATTCTTACAAGGGGACTCTATTTTCTAATTCACGTGATTCCTTTTTTCTCAGATGCTGTAGCAGCAACAGTGATAAACGAAAACCAGAAACAATCAGGAATACATTCTACCTAAATGGGAACATGCATATTCAACTACAGTAGTGGCAGCACAAGAAGCTGTGTCTATGGAAAAAAAGTGACAGAAAGGAAGCAATTGGGAGAACTGTTACGTTAAATCAGAATACATTCATTCAGTTTTGAAACTGAAGGTAGCTAGAAAGTGCAAATTTTGAAACAAGACAAACATGACTAACTTTCCACTGAAAGATGACAAGCTGTATATGCTACAAAATTAGGTCCAGAATGTTTAAGTTCCAATGTCTCATATGAGTAGTTGCATACTCTATTAACGACAAATTACTATTACAAATGTATATTTAATGTCCTGCTGTTAATTTCTGGCCCTTTAAACTGCGCAGACCTCTACTGTGAAATAGAAGCATTTGTTAAGAGGGGATAAGTGTACTTGATAAATTACAGGGATTAACATGATCTTAAATTAGTAAAAGAATTTAGCTTTTTAGTATTTATTTTCTTGATGCTGCTCAGTTTTTGACAGTGGAAGATATGACAATTATATAAATATACTTCAAACAGAGGATCATCTCAGGGTGGGAAAGGCATCTTTTCGTTCTTTTTGGTATTTAAAAGAACTACATTGTCAGACCCATGATTTCAGTCTCGCATTCCCTCTCGCCTCTGGGATAGCACCACCCAGTGGCTGCGACACGTATGGGAGACCGCTGCTTGGTTAAACCCACCTACACTGCACATTCCAGAGATAGTTGCAAGCAGATGCGAGAATGTGCTGCCATTCATCTTCAAACAAAACACCACACATACTGGCAGAAGGCCCATTTCAAGTCAGGGTTACCTGGAAAGATGGAATATGGCTCCCACGTAAATTAATAACTTTTGCTTAAGTCAGTAACTGACCAAAAGTTGGAGAAAATGGTACCAAGATTATAAATCTTAATCTGTATTTTTTCTGGTTTGCTTTAGGAATGAAGCACATGTTGAGTGGAGGGAAGAGGGCTAAGAGGCAGAGACAGAGTACAATGGGACATATACACACTCACTATTCTTTTGTTTACAAAAGCATCTTTATAGAAAGTTAAGAGAATGGCATTATCTTTCTTCACTGAGCAGATGAAGCAGCACTGCCAGCAATGCCTTCTGTTCTCAGCCAAACCTTTCATTTATCTTGCAAGCTGCCAAAACTAAACCTGGCAACAATCTGATTTTAGAACACAGAGGCCCCAACACAGGATGTGAATGTCAATTATATCAGACAGCTGGAAAAAAAGACCAAAATCACAAAGGCTTTTAAAAAATAAAAATGACATAAGAGCTTTAAGCTATTCTTATAACACCATGCACAGATGCACATGCACAATAATTTTTTCATCAGGATGTCCTGTACCAACTTGATAAATACAGACAACACTTAACTTGCTGTTAACTTGTGCTCTTCATGGGAAGGTAAATGGAGGGAGAAAGCATTCAATTAATGTAAACAGGAAACAAGGAAGGAATGTAAAAGACCTGTAAAAGTAAGTAAAATACACTGGCATGATAAATGTACATAACTGCAACGAGAAGTATCTCTTACCGAACCTTCTTTGCATCTTAGGCAAAACACTCGAGTGCTGCTATTACTGAAAATAAGTCTATAAGGCCAGAAAAAGATGAATTTGCATGAATGCATCAGCATTCTGATTTAAAAGTAGCAATAAAATAAAAAGTATATTTGCAATAATTTGGACTGATAACTGGGACAAAGCACCTGATTGGTTTCATTCTGACAATAGCTCCAAGGTATAAAACAGCAAGCTGGGTGTGAAGGCACATTTGACCACACGTGAGCTTTCTTTCTTGCTTTGCTTGATTAGAATCTCTCTTATCAATTTAACACAGACTCAAACGTAGAGTAGTAGTAGACAGAAAGATGCTCTGTTCCCCACTTGGGCACAAACCAATCCACCATCATAAACTATATTCCCTTCCATCTAAACTCATTATAGCTGAAAGGACAAGCAGATTCCTCACTGGATCGTCACCTTTCAGGGACTCTAAAATTGTCATCTGAAGGTGGGTAGTCGAAAGCAGTTCAATTACAGGAAAAATAACCCTGTAAGTGGAACCTGTCCTCTGTAGCATATAAATAGATATTATGATATCAATTTTACATGTGCAAAAAAAGCTCCAATATAATTTTCTCTCCAGATGTTCTTTTTCTACACAGAAATGTCAACAGAGGTTAAATGCATCACCAGATGCTATGACTGGGTTACTGACAGTCCAGAAATTCAAGGCAGAGAGCTGCTGCACAGGCAGAGAATTGCATCTACAGCCCATGTACAATAATCCTACACAGCACTATCTAATGTATCTACCAAATATTTCTACCTAAACATAGAACCTCATCCGCATATGTCAGCTCACAATAATTTTGCAACCTAGTACAATCCATTGTATTTATACTTAGTATTACATATTTTTCTCAACCATTATGAAAAAGATGCTTTAGGAATATAGAAAGTATTGAGAGAAATATTAATTGGCTGGCTTGTTTGCATGGATACTGCAGAACCACCATTTGCATACGGTACTGGCATTCTGGCATCTACCCATGGAGTAATCAAACTTCATCTTGCTGTTTTATTTAGCTACAGATCTGGCACTTTCATGTAGGTTGAAGTCAACAAGCTTTAAATCAACAGAATTACTTCTAGCCTATTAGTATATGACTTTTATAATTTGGAAGAAACTATGTATTACACCTGTGCTTCTAAATAGATGGCTATTACCTCCAAAACACCTTGATCTACATCACGTTATTTATGAACTGTAAGACATGGTACAGAACACTATTAACTGAGCACTGATCTTAGTAAAGGACTAAGAACTAGAAAGTCCCATATTTTTATCCTGCTCTGAGAATGAGCTCTTGCCCTACACATCTGATAATGTCCCTTTCTCTGGAGTCAGGGAAGAATCTTGTTGCAAAAGATTGATTAAAGGAAATGAAATCTTGAAATCAGAGAACAAAGTGAAAAAAACACTCTGGAAAGGAGATATGATAAAATAATTGGAAAAAAAGTTGTCCAGAATCAAGCAAGAGTTTGAGAGGAACAGGTAACCAAAGAAGTTACAATGTTAGTAAAGCTGTGCAGAACATACCTGTTTTTGTTAATGGGCTAGAGAACAGCTGCTGAAGAAGTTTGTTCTCTGAAGTTCGCAACACCACCACTATGTCAGCAGGAAGAGTGTCCCTGTTCTTCTCAAGGAATGCAGAAGCGTCATATAATACCTAGTGTGGGAAAACAGAATCAAATCTTTGACAAAAAGGGTTACCCAAAATCTGCTATGTTCTTTAAAATGTGAACAGGCAGGACGACCAAGCAGACCAGCTAGCTTGGTCTGACCATCAAATGAATTCTCTGCAAAGGACTTAAAAGGTTTGCTTAAAAGCGAACTATAGCAGTGCGTTCAGAATGTAAACTGGCTAGACAGAGTACCTATATTCATAGAATGCCACTGCATATCAGATTGGGTTAAATGGCTTAAATCCTGTTGTGTTATGCTTGGCCATTTCGAATGATTCTATGCATGATACAATGCAACAGAGATATGTTATTAAAGCTTAAGTTGATCCTTTACGTGATGTAAGAAGTGGTTCTCAGGTGGTCACTTTCTATTGGTTGTCTGCATCAAACCTGTGATCTATAAGTAGACCTGCTGGAGGAGCAGTAATAAGTTGGACACAATGCAAACATGGTACATGAAAACAGCTTCTCATGGCAGTGAAAATCATATTAGGAAAAGAAAACATTCCTCTCTTTCAATTATTTTAACTGTTTTGATTTGAAATCAATGCCTGGATATTTGGATTAATTTAAGTATCAGTTATTTTTAAATTTTGTTTAATTCCAATAACTTTTTAGAGCTGCTTCATTATCACTAGCTATATTCCTCTCTAGCCCAATTTCCCTGGAGTCCATTAATTTACACAGAAATTGCATGTTCTCCAGCTACAGAAAACTGGACAGTATTGTTTTTATTATCTGGTCACGTGGGTACAAAGAACTAACTAAGACTATACGAAATTTAATAGTTATTCTTAACAAGACAGAAAGCCTGACCAAAGTTACTAGAATATATCTTAAAATTTTGGAGTCTTATAATGATCCAGAGATGAGACTTAATTGATAACTACATAAAATATGGTTGTTTCAATTTTGTCTGTGAACAAATATTTGGGCCTGAAATGACAAGCAAAGCTCATGTTATGGTGAAAACTGGATTGTTACTTCTCGTATAAAATAATATGTGAATGTGAACCTCTGAGAACAAAATAAATTAGGTGTTACAAAGTACAAGAAAACATCTTTACTAGCAAGTCCCAATCTTTTCAACGCACTCTATAGGATTTTAAGTTCTGTTACAGATACTGGTTTATATTGCTTTTCATGCATATACTTTATATACACTCTCACAGAGAGTTACTGTGGCATTCACATGCTGTTACTAAGCATGTAGCCTGCCCTAGCTCCAGAGAGTCGCTCTTTTGAAACTACTGTAGTACTGGCATTTCTGAAGCCAGGTTTCTTGCAGAAAAAAAATGCTTACTGTCTACACAATCTGTGTAAGAGCCCTAAGGATAGGCTCCAAAATTGATTGTTACACATAAAAATTTCATTGTAGAGTGTATGTTTGCATAAACTTTATCATTTTTTCTATAAAAACGAGAGGGGAAAAAAACATAATGCAGAAACTCTGGAAAAAAACAAATTATGACCATACCACTATTACCTGAACTAAAGAAAAATCACACGACTTTACCTTTCCAGCATAGTGTTGAATACCAAATGAAAGTTCCACTCCTTTTGGTCTCCAGAAGTATTTGCATCGTAAGTTATCTTCAAATTTATCTAGACATTGAGAAAAGATGTTGATTTAAGTGACAGAGTGATTAACTACAATCTTCATCCTAGTTTGCTAAGTTGCTGCTCAAGAAGTCAGAACTGCTATAAACACATATTATCAGATTGCTCAGAAATACCAAGCTGTCACATCTGAATGGAACAGCTAATTTAAAACTAGCCCAGTAAGACTGTCTTTCAAACATCCCTGTTTGTGGATGCCTTTGTGCATGGAAAAATACAAAGTAGGAAGACCCAACGAGAAGATGTGACAATTTCTCACACTTTGCAATGAATTTACTTATGTATATGCAGGGATGAGTTTATTTCTCATACATACGTACACTCAAAACTGTGCATGTCTCTCAGTCACTTAAATGCCTACTATTTATATTTTCTCTATCTTCCTTTCTGCATTCATTTAGCTTTGTGCATCATGGTTTAAGGATATGTTAATGTTCTCAGTCTGGAGGACTCTACAGACTCTCTGGACTTCTACAGGAAAAAAGAACCTTCTCTATAAAACCTCTTCTAAGGATACTTTCTGTTTCCTGTGATTACCCCTAAAGAGCTGACAGAAAAGGGAGCACCAGTTTCTAAGGAAAATGTATTTTACAACCTGTGATTTTTTTGTAGGCTCCTTAATATTTTGTAATGAAATTAGAGCTAACACTGAGGGCCCAGGTAGAAATTCCTGCCTGCTGAGCCAAGGAAACATCCCTGGAAAGAAGCAGGATCCAAAGGAACCCATGTTAATAAGGATTATTGTTTATACTGTGAAACTTACTATTACACTAATTTACCTGAACAAGTAACTAGAGACCTGAGACCACAGTCAATTGATAACATTCTCTGTCATGCTGTGTATGTAAGAAAATATTATCAAAATATTTTTTCTAATGTTAGAATCTATTAATATTTTTGTTAGGTTTTTCTTTTTATTACCACTTAATTGAGCTTGTGTTTAAAGGAAAAATAACTAAGTCTGGAATTTCTGGGGACTGGGACAGAGTGGTGGAATTAATGATTGTCTGGCACACCTGGACAGGGCAAAATATCCCACTTTGCTGTCTGCTTGAGTGCTCCTGCTGTGCTGCGTACAGATCAGCAGTAAGGCCAACCACCATTGGACCAGGGAAAGCACCTCTGGAAGTAGAAGTCTAATATTCAGTATTAACTGATTTATACAACTCACAGGGAGGCAGAAAACTTATGTACACCAAGGAGGAGTGTTGAAGGTCCGCCCTGGAGTGTGCTTGTCCCTGCCGTTGCAGCCTCCCCTCGGAGGTTCCGGCTGCAGCCCATTTCCCATCCAGCCCGCCCGCCATTACCCCGTGAGGGAGACGCGGGCGAGCTCGCGCCACAGCGTCCCCTGCAGGCCCAAGGGAACCATGGCAGCGCCCCCTGCCGGCGGTGACTGTAACCACACCAAGGGGAAGCGCCTGCAGCCGGGACAGGGCGCTCACTGTGGGTTTCTGGTTTGGTTGGTTGTCTTGTTACACATATACATATCCATAGATACATTAATAAAGAACTCTTATTCCTTTTCCCATATCTTTGACTGAAATCCCCTTAATTTCAAAGTTACAATGATAATTCAGAGAGAAAGAGGTCATATTTTCCATTCCAAAGGAGGTCCCTGCCTTCCTTGGCAGACACCTGTGTTTCAAACCGATGTTTTTCCACGGTAGAGTGGAATTAAACTACAGTATTTATTCTATCTGTAACCTGAATTCCAGTTTCAGCTCAGCCTAGCAATAGTGAAAAATCTTGTACACTTAGTGTGTAATTTAACTGGAAACTGTCATTTTTCTGTAACAGTTTGGGTCTCTGCGGCACATTCCATTGAAGGAAATGGAACTTTATTTCATATCACAGGGAAAAATGCACCTCTAGTAAATAAGCGCAAGACAACACCTTTAAACATGGCATGCACTGCATATTTTAAGGCTGGCACCAAAATTTGTCAAAATAGATGTAAAATATGCAAGGAAATACTCAGCCAGATGGCACACTAGAAATAACACACACTTCCTATTTATGACAAGATAATCTGGAGTGAAGCAGTATTTTCTAATTGGATAAATACAGGGCTAGGAGCCTAGGAGGTCCAAATTTTACTTTCAACACTAATGCTACTCACAGGGTGGTCCTGGATACAAGATTCTACTATGTCTCAGCCTTCCCTTCAGTAAATGGGGATAAATACTGCTTGATGCGCCCCATATACATGGACAAGACACAGGATATTTCCTTGTAACATTGAAAAAACAATAAGCCCTTGACCCCTGATACTTAAGACAACATTTCCAGTTTTAAAAGGATAGAAAACATATAAGCAGAGAAAAATGATGAAGCACAATGAAAAACATACTTAGTATGTCACATGAAATGACACAGCCTCAGGACAACTAGGGTAGGAAAACTTGAATAAAGATGACACTGCACTTAGAATACATTTGTCATTTCCCAGACCTTTCCCAGAGTTTTACTTGCACATACCAACTAAAGTGAGGTCTGTTGCCTGAGGAAATCGACTTTCTTCGTCTAGCAGAGAAAGGAGACCCATGGGCTTCTGAAGGAACATATCTAGAAGTGGACGGTTGTCCTCATACTCCACTGTAGTGGCATCAATTCCCTCACTCTGATATTCCATCTGAAAAAGTCACCAGCAGAGGTTTAATACTGAAACAGTAAAAGCAACATCATCATCATTAGAGCATTTACGATGCACAGCAATGCTCTATAGGCCACAACAACATTATTTACAAAACTTCAACAGAAAGATGTCATTATGTCACATTTAAATCACATAATCATTTTATAAAGTACTCCTGAATACGATTATGGTGTAGGACTCTGGATTCAGCTAAACCTCAACAGAGTTGAATTTACCTGCTCCAGTGCAAAGATATGTTGATTGAAATAAAACTGGATCTGTTCATTTGCAATGTTTATGCACAGCTGTTCAAAAGAATTTCTTGTGAAGTTCTCAAAGCCAAATATGTCTAGTATCCCAACATTCATCCCACTTTCAGCATTGCTGCATGTGAAAATACAAACAAAATTAATTATGAGCAACACCAAGTTAAAATAAAAATAAACTTGGTACCTAAGATTGCATAAATTATTCACTCTGCTGAAAAAATAAAGGAGGAAAAGCGTGTGTGAACCTAAGACAACTTGTGCATTTGCTCAGCATTGCTAAGACTTCTTTTCCACTTGCTTCTTGCAAATTTCCATGAAGAAGGCAGGAAAATCAGTAACACACACTTAGCAGCCATACTGAAACAAGGGGTTTCAGTAGGCAGATCCCAAATAAAATCTACTGTGTGCTCCTCCAGGTAAAGAGAAGGTGTCAAGGTTTAATGGTATGTTTTTGCAACACTCATTCAGAAGGATAATTACCAAATCTGCTGCTGCTACAAGTTAGACTGTTAAAAGTCCATGTGCTAACTCAAGTACACTCACTCACTACCAGAACTGCAAGAAATGGACAAGAATATGTCTATATGACATAGTGAAGTAGCAAGTAGAGATCTCAGATCAGAGGCATTTTCACATCACCTGAGAGGTTCCCTTGTTTCTAAAATCTCTACAGCTTCTTCAAATAATCAAACCAGCCAGATCAGTGCCTGGCAATGAAATCATAAGGATGCACAATATAATGTTTCTGTAATTATAAAAAATAAAAAAAATAATCACATCTCAAGTAGCAGCACAATAATAATCTGTTTTCTACATTTACTACTTGCTTACAAAAGCAGGGAGACTGCGAGGACTCTGAACAACATACTGAAGTTTTTCAGTGTACTTCAATTATTTATCAGCCTTTTGTATGGTTTGCATGTTCACAACACAGGAAGCATCTTTTAAAAAAATTGTACAGCACTTCAACCACCCAATTTCCATTGACTTCTGTAGCTAAATTCTATTCAGCTCTTTGAAAATGATGGGCTTAATGTCCTGGAAACAGGATTCAGTATCACAGCATGAAAGCCATTTTGAAGCCTTAGCCAAAATAAACACAGCACTCTTTCTGCAAAATCAAAAATATACAAATGGATGAACCCATCAGACATATGCACAGTAAGTACACATGATTCAGTGATGTGTAACTTGCCATATATTTTTATCTGGCTGAAGCAGTGTATTAATACGATTTACAATCCAGCTGAAGAGCCGGCCATAAAGTGCTTTCGACATGGCATCTCGCACGTCCACTGCTTTGTCCACGGTGTTCGTTCGGATAATTGTCTCCCCCCGTGTTACAACGCAGTGGGAGGTTAGGGCTTCTTGAAGCTCTTCTGACCCAATGCTTAGTAGTGCAGCAGCTAAAAGACAGTTGAAGACACAGAACTGTGATTCTGCAGTGGAAATCACCAGCATTGGCCAACTGCTACCATGAGCTAGTGACTATCACAAATAGAGTCAAATTGCATATACAGAATTGATAATGTTAAAAAGTGTATACCATTATCTAAGGCTTCTGGGTTAGGAACCTCACTTTTATCTGTTTGGTGTTGTGAAGAAATAGCAGCAAACTCAATGTTTCCAGTATTTAAGATTCCAGTCAGTATTCTGTACACTGAATACACTTCCTGTAAAAGATGATGAGAAGCACTTGTAAGGAATTCAGTTAGATGTACATATCATATTTAAGCCATGAAAGAAAAACATGGGCACTGGAATGGATATTAAAACTTGTAGCTTTCTCTGAGATGAAGTTGTTCAAGTTCAAGTAAGCTTCTATTTACACAAGAAATAGCGCAACAGAACTGCCTAAGTACTAACTGGGATCTCAGGCTGGTCTTGCCTTCTGAGTAGGGGGCTTTCACAGTTCACTTCTGTCATAACAAGATTTTGTGACTTGCAAAATTTTGTACATCCACAAAACCAAAGGGCAGCACTGGAGGTGGTTTTCCTAAATAAGGTAAATAACGGTTTAGCAACTGAATCTCTTACCTCATCAGTAAATCCTATGATTCTAAAACAATGCTGAATTGCATCAAATTGTCTTCCATAGGAATCTTTAGTAACAATATCATGCATTACTCTTCCAGTTTCATTATCAATGTATCTAAACAGAGTGGGAGAAAGAAAGCATCACACTACCACATATGTCAATACAAGCTCCAATGACTTAAATGCAAGTACCTCAGTAACTGGACAGAACATTTATCTCAATAACTTTCAATTATATAGTTTGATGCTAATTCATAAGAAGCTTTTGTTTCTGTTGCATTAACATCTGCTTATTCTCTGTTAATGTCTAGTAATGTTACCAACATTTCACACACATCCTTCACCCAGTACAGATCAGACACACTCAAGGTACAAACACCAATTAAAAGTTTCCAAAGCATATTCTGTGTTCTTCTGAAGCTGAAGCTGAAGCATTACGGTAAGAAATCATAAGGAGAGTTGTCTGCATTTGAAAGTATGACAAAATATCTACATAATGAGCTTGGTTCTTCCTCCTCCTGTTTTAATAGTTCAACTTCTCAAACAAATGCAAATAATTTAATGCCTTAGTGTCCGTCTTCTTCTCACCTTGCGAGGATTAAAAAAGATCCTTAAGGAATGGAGAAGGATTAAGAGAGATTTTAAGGCATCATACTGAAAGCAAGTGCTGATCAATAGCTAATTACAATGAGCAGTTAAAACAAGTGAGTGATAGTTACCTAGGAGGCTTTTTATCAGGAAGTCTGTATTCAGAAAGTTTCTTCTGATGATAAAGGCCAGCATATATATAATAAAATATATGGAAATTTTTTTCTCCCCTGGAAAAAAAAAAAGTGTCCTTTTAAACCACCTGCATTTATTCTTGTACAATATTCTTGTGGCATCTTGTACAATGAATGTAAAAGTAGTTCTTATTATGAGCTCACTGAAGCAAGGCACTGAAATCTCCCACTTGTTTTAAAAGTGTAGGATCTGCAGCTATGAAACACACAAAACCCAGTGAACACAACATTTCCCCAAAGAATTTAGTGGCTCTGGCTTCTACTCCTATAGAACAGGACTACTGCTGTCATAGCACTGTACAAAGGATTATTTTTTTAGCAGAAGACAGAAAAGTATCCAAACCAGAGAATTTTTGATACTTAAATCAATTCAAACACTACATAAATGCCATAGGACAGACAATTAATATACCTACACAGCCTGTTTTATGACCCTTGATTTTTCAAGTAGATATTCAGAAATCTTTGCCCCCATTACGGCTCCTGTAGGTGTAAACATCATTTCCAGATATTTTCCAAAGCGACTTGAGTTGTCATTGATGGCAGTGCAGGCATTTCCAAATGCTTCAACCAGAGGATTCACCTGAAGAATTTTCTCACGCAAAGCACGGTTATTGGCCTTGACAGAAGAGACATAAATCAAAAGGATAATTAAAATAATATAATTCTTACCCTCAATCCGATTCTTGCTCCAGAAGCAAAGAATCCTTTTCTCCCGCTTGTATGGAATTAGGTACTGTGCTAACCTTTCTATTTATACAAGAGATCCAACAAACTGGTAAGAAAATTTCCCACAGCTAGCAAAATACAGAATGTTTTTTCTCTGCAATTGTTATACCTTTCATTTGTTTTGTAATTAGGGTAAGAGTAGCACAGCCACAGTAGACTAAAGATGTCTACTTAGGGTTAAGCTGGCATAGTTAATTTTCCTATTATTTTGTGCTAACAGCATTACTCATAGCACTTAATTGTGTAAGAGCTTCTAAGATTAGAGCCAAAGTAATATTTATTATTATTACACATTATACATTTATATATAATATACATTCTTTATTGTATTAATAAACAATGTTATATTTTATATTATAAACACTGTACATAACTACAGGTACTGAACACTCAGAATCTGGCATCTTCCCTTTAAAAAACTAGTAACTGGCTTGGTGTGAGTCATACTCTTGCATCTTAATTCAATACTCTCACATGCATGATTACTATGTCCCTATATCGTGTGACAATTCACACTAACAACTTTAAGCATTAAAGATTAAACAAAGTGAACGTTGGGGTAGGGTTGGGAGGATTTCTTCATGATTTTACATAATTGGCTAGGAAATACCTTTCCCAAGAAGGTCAGATGTTGGACGATCAGATGGGCACTTTCTGTCTTTCCAGCACCACTTTCCCCACTGATGATAATGCACTGAACACACAAAACAAAATATTTAAGTGTATAGTTCATCACATGCTTGATTTCTGCTATTACTATTCCTACCTGTTATTTCATGTTTAGTACCAAAACTACAGAATACTTTAAGGGTCAACTCCCTTCTGAAAGGAGAGACCAGCAAAGGCTCAGTGTAGTAATTTATTCCCTAGATTACTAAAATGCATCTTGCAATGCCTGATCCCATGGTGCATGTGTGAAGCAGTGACTGAATTTTGAAGGGCTAGAACACATAAACAAGTGACCATGTCTGAGCTCACTGCACTGACTTCATATGAATTCATATGAATCACAGGGTACAGCTGTTTTTAACAAACTGACCAAAAGTTTACTCTGAAAAATAGTCTTTAACAATAGGTCCTGTGTAGGGAGGCTATTCTGCAGGTGATGCTGATATTCAAGCAAGAATAGAAAATTAGCACCTAAACATTTCAGCAAAATGAGCATCAGTTTACTGGGTGATTCTGGGAGGACATGGCCACCTTCTTCCTGCACCAGCAGTCCTTAACATGTGGTATTTCACAGGCTCTTCAAAAGGCTTCCAGACTCAAGAGACTACCTCAAATGGTCTGAATCACTTTCCTTCTCTCTGCAGTTATGCTTCATGGGCAACATGGAAGTTGAAAGCCAGTTCTCACCTGAACACTGAAGAATGCAGAACATTGTTTGAATCCTAACAGCATTTATTATTTACCCTTTTTTCTCCATGTATTCTACAGACCACAAGTACAAATATTTTTCTACCTAAGGTACAGTATTAACTGACATATAATTAAAATGTTAACACTGAGCAGTTGCACAGGTATACAGGTTTTTATGCAAACATCTGAAAATTACTTGCATCATACTGTGAATACACAAAATTCTTGGCTGGGAAAAGATACAAGGTCCTAAAATACTTGATGCAATAGCCCTTTGTATAGAACTGAGCTTTGTGAAAAGGTTTGAAAGATGCAGCAGTTATCTGGTGGTACCTTGTGGTGCCTGACAGCAGGTACAAGGAACAACTCTACATAAATTACTATACTGAGCCTTTGCCGACCTCTCCTTTCAGAAGGAAGTTGACCCTTAAAGTATTCTGCAGTTTTTGGTGCAATATGACATTTGCAGCTCATTTATTTGCTTCCTGTCAGTTATTTTTGCTCTTGGAAATAGGTACCACATTGATTACACTACCTAATTTAATTGCTTTTGTGTGACTAGGGAAGTCATGCACAACAGTTTACAGAGTTAAGGCTCATGAGTCCTTCTAGAATTGGTCAGAATTTGACTACTGCTTCAGGAGAAACAGTAGGCTGAAGTAAACTTTCAAGTTTCACAGGAAAGAAGAAAAAAAAGAAAAGAAGAGAAAGCTCAATGGATAAAACAAAGAGAATCAATACATTTTTCACATTTTTCAGTCTGGCTACTGTGCTTATCTGGTGCACCTTTATATATATAATACTGGCCAGGTAACAGATAAACAAGCTCCTGTAATACTTTGCAAACAGAAAAGAGGAAACTGAATTAGATCTGAATGAAGATTATTTCAGAAAGAGGTACAGAAGTTGCACAAAGTTGGCCTGACAAGCTGAGGTAATTACTAATCTTTTTCCTCAGATAACAAGTTCTCACATACGTTAGTGTACATGAGTACATGTTTTGTTTAATGCCTTCATCAAAGTACATGTAAGTCATTAAAGAAGTATTAATCACTTTCCAGGCCAGTGTACTTTCACATAATCAGTAAAGCTCCCTTTTATTTGTCTTATTTTCTTTGCATTTTCTGATTTAAGACTTTTTATTATTTTATTCTGTTTTTGTGACTTTAAGAAAACGTTTTCTATTAACTATCGTGTAATGTGCAGGGTAAAATCAGGAGGATTTTATAAACAAGAATAATTATTAGCCTTCAATATTCATGTCCACACAGCTCATCAAATTAGAAAGAGTATGAAGTTATAACCTTAAGAATGTAGTAAAATATTTTACAGCATAGTATTTTATTCTCATTAAAATCATTGCTATATAATAGGATTTTTGTCCTTATTACATTTATATTAGACCCATACTTAATTTATTTTACTAAAAATTTCACTAATGGTTCCTATTTTTTGTGATTTAGTGTCTTTTTACAACAGAAAAGTGGTTCAAACTATGTTAATCTGGTATGGCATTGAAAACCCTCTATTTTACACAAATGTACATTACTGAAATATCTAAGTCAAGACAGGCCTAGAATCAGTGTGCAGCACTACCTTGCTGCTGGAGTCAACAACCAGGATTTCATGAGTGTCCAGGGAACTATACTGGTCAGGTACCTCCATCATCTTATTTGACCTTTCAGTCTCTTTCATAACACTGTGTCCTCTTCAGAACTCCCAAATCTGATCAGATTTCTACTCTGGTTTTGTTGATTAAGGAATAAAAGGCTTAAAGAAAAAATACCCCAGAATACAACATAATAGAACATTATTCACAGCCCTGTAGCACAGTGGCAGTATGATTAATATACAACCTAAATCAAAATTAACAGATTCTTACCTGATCCTTGCTGAATGTAACCATGCTTTGGTAGGCAGCATCTGCAGAGGCAAATATGTGGGGGGGGTTTGATGAACGCTTCACACCATGGTAAAGCTTGGAGAACTAAATTTAAAAGAAAGACACACAATAGTCAAAATATGAAATTTAGCTACATAATTAAGAAAAGAAGGCACTATCATCTGCCTGTTCAATAGAAAAAAGTTGACTGTTATACCACAGAATTTCCACTGAATCACCTACAGCAGGAGTGGTAATTTTTGGCACTGCCCAATTCCCAGAATACAAATTACATCACCTAGAATGCATTCTGATGTTTCCTGCACGAGACAGTGAAGAGAACTGTATCACAAGGAAGAGAATTTCAAACACAAGCCTTCAATCAAGGAAATAACCAATTTATACAAAAGAAACTTACAGTGAATCTGAATTCTGGCCCCTATCTGAAGCCCTGATTTAAGCATCCATGATATTTTTAGCCTTCCAAGTTATTTCTAGCTCCACCTCTCTTCGTATTTGTAGGGAATTAAACTGGCCTTTATGTTTATAGCATTTTGTTTCTGTTAAGCCAGAACTAATGGCACAGGACATGTAATAACCCTCAGTCAGAGCAATTCTTTGGGAAGCAAAAACCTCAGGAGGTTCATATAACCATCTTCTGTTTCGCAGAAGAAAGTCCTAAATGCTAGACAAGGGGCACAGATGTGCCTGGGGTAATCTCTGTCCCTCCAGAGGAATTTGTGCCATCAAGAAGTGAATGAAATCAAATGAAACCAAATTTAAGAAACAAAACAAAACAAAATAAATTTTTAGCCACATTGTTCTGGAAAAAGAAAAGGCAGAGGTTTAGTCTATGCTCCTAACTTCCAGCATCACTTAAGTATTTTAGCTAGTAGTGTTAATATAAAATGTAAAGCAACTTCCATCTTCAGCTTGGAATCTCTCTTACCTGGGGAGAATAAATGCTGAGATTCTGGAAGGGGTTCAAGGCTATTAAAATGTCTCCAACGTAAGTATAAATCTGTAAGTCAGCATAACGTTTTTGCAGTTGATGGATAATTGTATCCTGAGAAGATTACAGAAAGTTTGATAGTTATGCAGTATTTTCCCATCTAGGAAGATTTTTGTAAATATACTGAGAACACTGTTTAAGAAATATTATATATTATTATATTATATATATAATATATTCTATATGTATATTATATATTATTGTATTATATATTATTGCAAGTGTTTCTAACTATACTTTAAATGCCAAACCCACAAAATCAAATATTTTCAAAATTCTTGCTAATGTCATAAAACTAAGTTAAATGGCAACTCCTAATTGCAAATTAGAATATTTTCTTATATCAGACTGAGAAGAAAATATTCTGAAGAGAAAATGGTGGTACACATTATTGCTACACTTCATAGTACATGTCCATTTAATTGTTTTTATTTGTCCATGAAACAAGAATAACAATTTTTCAATTCAAGGATTAAATTTTAAGTAGTAGTAAAAGACTGTTTAAACAGGACACTAGCACAATTTAGTATTATGTCTTTTTCTTGCTGGCATGCAATTTAAGGATTATCAACACCAAAATTTAGATACTCTGAAAATAGGTGATACAGTGAAATATAAAATTGATAGTTTTATTGCTTTTTATCAAGAACCAGTAGATAATACATTATCATATATAAATCAATTATTTTAGAAAAAAAAATCACTTAAATCTAGATCTTTATGACTACACATTTTAGGAAACTCACAAAAATAATTTAAACTAGCATCATTCATAATTAAGTTTTTCCACATAACAGTATTCACTGCTACTTCTTTTATGCTACTGCATAGATTAATGAAGCAAGGGCAGCCGATCTGTCATGTGAGAATTCCTTTGCCTTGGTGAGACAAAAGATTGTAAGAAGGAAATACTTTCATTCTGCTAAGAGATGCCTAAAAGGTACAGTTGAGGTACAGTTGTCAGAAGCTGCTACTCAGACAGTACAGTACCTCATTGAGAACTTCTAGATTTACCAGATCGTCATCTAGAGAGTACGTGTCAGCTCTGTCCACATGGTAAGGTCTTCTAGTATGTATTCGTTCATGCCTGGAAGTTGTTAACAGAGCACCAGTATTATAAAAGTGTATTAGAGACAGCAAATATTAAGATGCAAAGGGAAGTCAAAGGTGAATGTTTTTATCATGCAGAAATACAGACACACTCTCTGAAATTGGTAATTTTGCTTGAGATATCCTTTTATAAAAGCAATAGATCAGCTTGCTCTCCAGTGTACTACCTGTTTCTCTTTCACAACATATAACCCTATCTATTTATCAATGCTCAGTGAAGATTTACTGCTTACAGACTTACTGCTGCTCACTCACACTCAGTAAACTAAACAGATTCTTCCTCTTTTCCCTTCCCTCCTTGCGCTAAGTTAATAAACTGCCATTCAGTTTAATTAAATGCTACCCCCACATGCCCAGCCATAGTACTGTCATCTAAAGAAGTTATAAGAAGCAGTAAGTAGTATAAAATCCTACTGTTACCTTGATGTATGCCAAAGTGCCTCCTCAGATGACCCTAGATGTGGCCCAAAACAACGTTTTTGAACCACAGCTGCCATCAGACTCTAAATTGTATGGATGTTCAGTCGGCTTGTCTCCAGAGATTTAAGCCACACAACAAGCAGCAGAGACACACTGTCACATAACCCCTTTATAATCAGATTATACTGAAGGAATCTTTGAAAATGCGGTGTATATGTTTCTAAACAACACATCATGTTGAAACGGGAACAAATTAAGAGGCTGAAACATGTCTTCCACAGAGGGTGTGAAATATGAATGCTGTAAGTGCAACTAGGCTTTTCTTTACAACAAACATAATCAAAGCATAGTAGAAGGACACCCACCGAGATACAGTCTGCATCCTGCTGAGTAACATTTAGCATTGATCCTCAATGACAGTCCTTGACAGATTGTTTTTGCATTGGTTGCCATGTAGGAAAGTAGGAGTCACATGATCAAGCATCCCGAAACAAGACTAAATATTACATCAAGCACCAACAAAACAGTACCCTAACTTAGCAGGAAACACTTGTTTATCTGTAATATTCAAAGTTAATATGAATACGTCGCAGGCTTCTTTAATCATACCTTCATATGCTTTTGTAATCCTATTTTAAAAATTAACATAGAGGCATTTGCATTTCCCCCCTTTATGTACACTTCTATATTTCAAGCTAATCTGGTTTCATTGAGTGAAGAGAATGTTTTCATATCCAAGAGCTATTACATCATCATCATCAGAACTCTTGCAAGGAAAGGCTCTCATAAAGAGGAACGAGAAGAGTGTTAGTCATGAGTACAGCTTCCCTGATAACTGTGAATCACATAAAATGATATTTTTCTTATGTCTATTTTTATTCCTTTTCCTCATTTCCTTTTGGCTACTCAATGAGTTTTAGAAAGCTATTCTTTAATAATTTATTTGAACTGTTGCAAACTGTTTTGTCATCTAGGAAATGAAACAGTGGGAAGGCAGCAGGTTTTGCTGACAGTCCCACTACACTCCCACAGACAGTAGTTTGCTTTATGTTGTACATATGAAGCAATGAAAGAAGGACACAAGAAGACAAGTAAGAAGCTATGAAAGAAAAATTGTTATAGCGGGTATTATTTCTCATGGGCAGCATGTTGACCATTTGAACTTGTTCAAAATTCCATTCAATAAATCTTCCGTTTCATGGTCTTCGATTAGGTATTGGGTTATAGGTCCTTTTTGGGTGGTTTTTTTTTGAGTCACTATATGCAAAAACATTACACTTTGCTGACAAGCCAGATCCTCAAAGGAGTAAGAATGCATTATGTACTACTGGGGTTTTTAAGTGTTGTTTCCCTTTCACAAACCAGAATTCAACCTCTTATTTTATTGCATAGAAAAATACTGTTGTAAATAATGTAAATCATCTAGAGATGGGAGCACCCCTTGGTCTACAAATGAAGGAAATATTTTAATATTTGCTTTACTTCATGAAGATGTAACTAACAAAGCAATGGCTAGACATTTTAGCCAACATAACTTATCTGTGAAGCTTTTTCTTCCTGGAGTAAAACATCATATCCACAATACTGAATTGCACCAAACTGCAAGTAGGGACACATCTACCGGACGTGCAAGAAGGAGGGGGAAGAAGGCACATTCAAACCTAAGCATGTCTAATAGCAGAATGGCTTTGTAAACTAATCTGTTATCTGATTGTGTATTAAACTCCTGCTGTTTGTTCCCCTTAAGTGATAAACAAATCTTTTTTTATTTATTAGAAAAGATTCCTTTTAAGCCTATTTAAATAAATAAGGAAAGTGGTCTTAGTTAAATATAAAGTAAATATAAGTAAAACATATATACCTTTGTACACATATTTTCCAGCACTTAACTCATTTTCCTAAGTACATGATTAAGAAGAGGATATTAGGAGCATAATATCACATTAGCTTCAAATCTCCTGCTGGCCTCATCAGTTTTCTACTGACCCTATGTCCTCCAGTGCATTGATAGAGTGGGAAGGAAAAATACAAACAGTAAACTTTAATTATTACCACAATTCTACATCAGAAATACAATCTGCTTTTAAAACATGTATTAAAAATTCTTAAAAGGCAGAAGGAAGCACTCTTAATTAGGGAAATAACTGTCAGTATATTTTTAGCATAAAAAGTAGAATTATCAGCCATTTTTTCAATTACCCTTCCTTTCTGGCAACATATAAGTAGTACAAACTCTAAGCAAAAGGAAAATCAAAGATGTTATGTTATCCTCCTTAAGTTTCCAGTGATTTTCTGATGCAATCCCTGCATGATGTAGTCTCTTCACAAAACGAAAGAACAGCCATAAAGGGTGCAAAGGGCCAGTCACTCAAGGTGTCTAACTTCATTTTAGAATCATAGGATGGTTTGGGTGAGAAGGGACCTGAAGAGCACCATTAGATTAATTCTAGAAGTCTAGTGATGAGCACTGTCTGTTGAAAAAGGCTCTATGCTCCAAAGTATCCTCCTGTTACCATTTTATCAGGCAGGAATAGCTGGAAGGGACAGTTTTCTTAGATTTTGTAGGAGGAACAAAAGGCAAGAAGCATTTTTCCCCTGAGAGAACCATTTAATGAAAAGGCAGGAAACATTCATTTGTTCTACTGGTGGTAAAGATACAGTTTGAAAGAAACTAACCAGTTATAGTAATAAAGGTGCACTGTAAATAGCTATACACTCCTATATCCTGCTATCAAGGGATGGGGAAAGAAAAGCTAGATGGACCACACAGACTTCTAGATCAAAAAGTCATTCTGCTAGCAGGTCCAACCTGAGCAACAAAGCAACACAGACCAAGAATTTTTGACTTCATTAGGAAGCTTCTTCTCTAATCTCTCTCTCCTCCACCCCTAACATCTTTAGGGCCTTCCAAGAGGCCTTTACATTGCCCTGTTGGTACAGTTAAGCATTTATGTTTACTGTTTGTTTGTTTCTAGGATTCACAAAGGCACAATGATTGCTGTACTTGGTCTTCTTTACATTATTGCCAATTTTAAAATTAATTAATGAGATTTACAAGAAAAATACTCAACAGAATGAGAAAGAAAAAAGGGGAGAGTGCGACACTGCCACACAGAGATACACAGCCTATTTCCCATGCATTGCAAAGACCTAATTTTGCTCCTTTACATCAGGTTTCAGCCTGAAGTAATTTATTGAAGCAAGGTCATAAGAGAGATACTGATACAGCCTTAATTACAATATAAATGCTACAGCTATAGTTTGCAACCTCCAGTAAAAACACATGTACTATACTCAGAACAGGATCACTTTTGGGGGCCACAGTAGCTTTGAGATTAAAAAAATATATATATGAAAGGGGGGAAAAAATAATTTTAAACTCATTTGCCTAGTATTCTTATAGAAGAAGGCTGGAAGAATTACCTTAAATTATATTCTGTATAGCAGCAGAGAATATTTCTGGTTCTGGTTCTGTTATTATCTCTGAGTCCAAAGAAAATTACTGGCTGGATGCAATCAAGTTCCCTGTGGTTAATTGCTTTCAAATCTAAATGTGAACTGGCAGAGAAGCTTAATATCTGGTAGTAAGAATAATTTCCTTGGATGGACTGCTGCTGTAATCCAGCTGGTTCATGAAAAGGGGGAAGCTGCCAAGACATGGTACTGTCATTTTAATACCTGACAAGGTAGCCTGAACATTCCTGCCCTTCTCAAACTATTAAATGCTCTTTTCTTTATTCCTCCCGCCTTTTCTATTTTTCCCCAGGCTTCTCCAAGTTTGAGTCTTCCTGATGTACAGATTTGCCTTTTATCCTTCAAAATGCAAGCTTTCAAAAGCGTCTGTCCCCCATTGCAGAAACAAACTTGGAAATGGCGACCAGCAGTAGCACTGACCCAGCATCACCCAAACCTGTAAACTCTGAGCTCTTTACTAATAGTCTATCTTAAACTAGTTTAAAACCATATTCATGCAAGTGCTGAAGTTTTTTCATTCTTTTAAAAACTGAAACCAGAGGTTAGTAGATATTTTCTGATTCCTATGAAGAAGCCTATTTACAGACAGGAGCATAAGATACCTATTCTGTAGGAAAACATCCAAGAGGAGAATGAGCCATATCTGGAGCTGGCATCTTCAAACCTGCTGATAATTGGGAAGCTGCCACTTTGGATCATAAAACCCAAACTATTCAATGCTTGATCAACATTAACTTTAAAAATCAAATCATTATATAAATTTAACACTGGGAATTATGAAGTTATTGAGGAAATACAGAAGACCCTGGTTTTTCTCAACTTCACCTCCAGTAACATTTGATTGACAGAGCTAACTAAATAAATGTAGATGTCAACTGGTGATTATTAATACAGATTAATCTACTACAATTCAAACTGGTGCTCCACATTATCTCCTCTGAAGGAAGAGCCAAATGCCACACAGAAGCCCACAATATCTAAAATTCTGAAAGACAGCTTCAAAGAATATTAACAAGAGCAAAATTTCTGGAATGCATTCTGTGAAGACTCCTCTTCCCTGTCTTCAGTTCTAAGCTTTTAATC